CACGCTGCAACTAAGCTAGTCCTCATCCTCTCTCCGCTGCCGTTATTTTTATGGCAAACAAAACAACAATTAATATGGTTTTCTAATAAATAACAGAACAAATACATTTTTTCCTTTTTATTGACAGCATGCAAACATCTCCTCAACTCAGTAACAATAAGTTGACATTTTGATGTCATTTCCTACCAGTGGGTCTTTTCATTATACAAATGCTCTTTCCCTACTCCCTCAACCCTAAAAAGAAGGCACTTGTCACCAAGCCTCATGACTGGAGTTCAATGCCAGGTCTCACAGTGCTACCTTTCACGCATTTCCTCAACATTAAACTTTTTAAAACTTAATTTTTAAAAATGTTATTTATTTTCACTTTATTTGTACTGAATGCTTTGTGTGCATGTACATATATGAACCGTATGTGTGCCTGGTGACTTTGGAAATCTGAAGAGGGTGTGTGATCCCCTGGAACTGGTGTTATGGATTGTTGAGCCACCTCGTGGGTACTGGGAATCAAACCTGGGTCCTTTGCAAGGACAACAAGTGCTCATAACCACTGAGCCAACTGCATAGCTACCCGAAGACTTTTACTAAAAAATTTGATAGGCTGAGAATGCAACTTAGTGGTAGAGTACTTCCTTAGCATGTATGAGGCCCTAAGTTCAATTCCCAACACTTACAAAAAGGAAAATTTTGATACCAGGGTAGTATGGGGAGGTGGCAAAAATGAACAAGATATAACAAACTATGTATATATGAAAATGTCACCACAGCCGGGCGTTGGTGGTGCACGCCTTTAGCCCCAGCACTCGGGAGGCAGAGGCAGGCGGATCTCTGTGAGTTCCAGGCCAGTCTGGTCTCCAGAACGAGTGCCAGGATAGGCTCCAAAAGCTACACAGAGAAACCCTGTCTCAAAGAAAAAGAAAGGAAGAAAGAAAGAAAGAAAGAAAGAAAGGAAGGAAGGAAGGAAGGAAGGAAGTAAGGAAGTAAGGAAATGTCACCACAGAGAAACCCTGTCTTGAAAAATCCAAAAAAAGCCGGGCGTTGGTGGCGCATGCCTTTAATCCCAGCACTCTGGAGTCAGGTGGACCTCTGTGAGTTTGAGACCAGCCTGGTCTACAAGAGCTAGTTCCAGGACAGCCTCCAAAACCACAGAGAAACCCTGTCTCGAAAAACAAAAAACAAAACAAAAAACAAACAAACAAAAAAAAACACACAAAAAGCTAGCTATGGTGGGACACATTTATAATTCCAGCATTTAGGAATACCAAGAGTTCAAGGTCACTTTCGGCTGCACAGTAAGTTCGAAGCCAGCCTATACTACAATAGACACTTCCAGAAAAATAAGTACTTGTTTTGGCAGCACATATACTAAAACTGGAATGGTAAAGAGAAGACTAATGTGGACCCTCCCCAAGGAAGACACCCAATTCATGAAGCAGTCCGTATTTTTAAAACAGAAATAAAATATTCTCTAAGTGTGATTATTCATGTTAGCATATATTTGATGGCATACATAAACAGATGAGCCTATTTTTGAGACAGGCTGTAGCTTTGTAGCCCAAGCCAGCCTCAAACTTATAGTCCTCCTACCCACCCATATACTAACTAGGATTATAGGTATGTAACATCACACACAAAATCACTTCTTTCAAAAGGAGTTTCTTTCTTTTCTCTTTCTTTCTTTCTTTCATTCATTCATTCATTCATTTATTTATGTTTTTTTTTTTTTTTTTTTCGAGACAGGGTTTCTCTGTGTAGCTTTGGAGCCTATCCTGGCACTCCCTCTGGAGACCACCAACACCGGCTTCTTTCTTTTATTTTTAAAATTAGTTTTTGTATGTGAGCTTTATTTTTTAATTTTTACTATACTGGTTAATATAAAACATACAACATTTTCTTATCCCCTGTATTCAGGAGTGAACCTATGACATTCTCAAACAATAATCCAAAAGAACAGGCCCTACTCTTAAAATAGCCAAGGTGGAAAGGGACCAAACAGCCAGTCTATCAGTAGTCTTGAAGAACTAATGGAGTTTCAAATATTCATATAAGGAAGACTACTATAATTTTAATAATTAGTCAAAATTTAAAGCAACATTACAGACAAAAATCATTCTTAAAGCCCTAAACGTCTTAAATAACTGAATGAAAATCTTTAGTTGTCTCACAGTCCCAAACATAATCAAAACTAGTTAAAATTCAGTGCTATCAGGACAAAGGGGGTTTTCTTATCTTGGAACAATTAGGCTATTCCTTGCTCTTTTGATATAATACTTCATAATATGTTTTCTTGGCAAGATCTCCTATTTAAAATATTAAGAAATATAAAAAGGCACTGATACTTAGTTTTAAAATTTTTTAAAGTCTGTAGAAAAATTACTGAATCTAGCAAAACTATACTTCAATTACAAAATATGTATTTATGATGTAAAAATGCCAATATTATCTTTTAATGATACTCTTTTCTAAAAGGCACTAGAACCGACACTTCATACTCCCACACTCATTAACCATGAGCAGTGGCACAAGCCGGTAATCTTGGCACTTGATAAACAAGAGACAGATGTATCTAGAGTGCCAGGCCAGGCCAGCCTGGGCTACACAAGACCCTTATCTCAAATGAACCAAAAACACACAAACAAATGTTATAAAATGTACAAGGCTCAAAAGAATAAACTACCAAAATGAATAATTACTAAAATCATTAAGAACAAGGTAAGTGTAAAAAAAAAAAGAAAAACCTATTTTACTTTAGCAACAATTATTTTGGTGGTGGGTAATTAAGGTAAGACTGGGCATATTCCAGGTAGTATGGCTGTGGCCAGGATTAAAGAGGACATCTGACATGACCTCTGACCTTCATACACACATATATGCACTAGAATGTGTGCCCCCACACATGGACTTGCACTCCCAAATGTGCATGTATGTATCATACTTAATCCCAACACACAGGAGCTTAAAGCAAGAGGATCTGAAATTCAAGGTCACCCTTCACTGAAGAGTGGGAATCCTAAAGTCTAGGAATAAATCTACAGGGATAACTGGGATTCTATGCTGAAGATTATAAAACAGTCACGGGAAACTTTTTTTGAAGACTTATTTATTCATGTATTTATGTGTATGAGTGCTCTGTCTGTGTGTACACCAGAAGAAGGAATCCGATCCCATTATAAATGGTTGTGAGCCACCATGTGGTTGCTGGGAATCAAACTCAGGACTTCTGGAATAGCAGTCAAGTGCTCTTAACCACTGAGCCATCTCTCCAGCACCCAGGAGAAATTTTTCGGGTTTTTTTTTTTTTTTTTTTTTGGTTTTTTTGTTTTTTTTTTTTAAAGTTTTTTTTTTTTTTTTTTTTTAACATTTTTTTCCTGGCTTG